CCAGCTCAGCCCACCAGGGGGCGGGGCTGGCTGGAATGTGGTGCTGGGGGATTGAACCATGGTCCCTGTGCTTTGCTAAGCTTGTTCTAAGTAGGTGCTTTAGACCACTGAGCCATCTCACCAGCCCTGGTTCATTTTTTTGAAGATAGGGTTTCGCTATATATTCAGGTTGGTCCTAAACCCATAATGCCTGGAGTGAGCCTCATTTTAATTTTTACATATACTCCGTCCTTCCCTCCATTCCTTTCTACCCCCTGTACCACAGGGCCAAGCCTTGCAGCTGAGCAGCTGTGAGGGGATTGAGTTTTCAGAATGAGCCCTGATCTTGTGACCCTGTAGGGGTGAGCCTCAGCTCTGTATAAGAACAAGATAGGCTGACCAGACTGTCCCCACTTGCAGGGAGGCATGTGTTCTGTGTACCTGAAGGACAGCGAAAAGGTGGTCAGCATTTCCAGTGAGCACCTAGAACCTATTACCCCCACCAAGAACAACAAGGTAGGGGCTGGAGCAGGGGTGGACATGGGGGTCACTCTGCTGATAAGGACACTGACACTGGTGTGCGACCCTCAGGTGAAGGTGATCCTGGGTGAGGATCGGGAGGCCACAGGAGTCCTGCTGAGCATTGACGGTGAGGATGGCATTGTCCGCATGGACCTTGATGAACAGCTCAAGATCCTCAACCTTCGCTTCCTGGGGAAGCTCCTGGAAGCCTGAGGCAGTTGGGGGTGGTGAACTTTAGCACATAACCTGGCAGATGAGAGCAGCCCTCCTTCCTTCCCGGGCTCTTGACCCTGACAAAATCCTGGGTCTGGAGCAGGGCTAGACTGATCATTCTGGAGTTCCCATTTTTCCTTTATGGATGTGCATCTTCCCTGTTGCTCATAGGAATCAGAGTAGAATCTTGGGAAGACACCCCTCTTAATACCCTCCATCCCCAGCTTGCTTTTATGTTATGCTCTTTCAATAAAAAGCTATTTGGGCAAATGTCCTGTTTGTGTGTATGTGTGTTGAAGGTATGTGGATCATATTTGTAAGTGGGATTATTCATATAACTCATGTGCTTCCTTTTCTGGTGAGTTCCCTCAAATAGGAAATAATGACAGTGTCTACCCCAGAGGGCCCTTGAGAAGGATATGTAGCTTATATATCTATGTGTATATAATTTTTTCAGAAGACAGTCTTACTATATAGTTCAGGCTACACTTGAACTCAGTGTGTAACTCAGGCTGGCCCCAAACTTGCGGTGACCCTCCTGCCTCAGCTCCCCATATCCTGGGATATCCTGGGATTACAGGTGTATACTACTATTTAGGCTTTTTTTTTTTTTTTTTTTTTGATATATATTTTTTTTTTTTTTTTTTTTGAGAGGGATGTGTGAGAGAAGGCATTGGAAACATGACTGAAACAGCTTGCCATGTAACAGATAAACTGCACTCATTCATGAGTTATGCTAGGTGAAAAATATTGTCCCCATAAAACCTAAATTCTGCCTGTCATGTAGTTGCTGTGCTTAACGAAGGTTCTTTACCTTCAGTCCTGAGAGCAGTAACACCGTAATTGCCATAGCTTGCTTGCTAACTTGAGCAGTGAGACTACACAGATCTGACTCGGAGATCTAGTTTTCAGCCTCTCAGGTGCTGGAATTACAGGCCACCATGTCTAGCCCAGTCTCAGCAGTCTTAAGTGTGCCCGGGGGGCGGAGGCCACAGGGCAAGCCTAGGATCAAACCCCTGTCACTGGTCCTACTTAAACAGGCGCTGTAGTACAGAGAATGTACTTTTAAATCTTCTCTCATCTGATGTTCATGTGTCTTTTTATAAATGTAAATGTGTTGCAAAATGTTTCAGATATTAAAAAAGACATACCATGACGACCCATGTTCCCATCACTCAGCTTGGGAAGCAGTATGTACCAGATAGGACCTGCTTTAAAGCACCCCTAGTCATTCTCCAGAAGTAAGCTCAACCCTGACTGAACTCCTTTTTTTTTTTAAGTGTTTGAAGGTGTTTATTTCCCAATCTTTTTTTTTTTTTTTTTTTGAACCCAGGCCCTTGCACTTGCCAGGCAAGCGCTTAATCTACTGAGCCATCTCTCCGGCCCCTCGACCCTGAATTCCATGTCTTTCCTTTGTCCCACTTTGTACTTTTACTACCTTGGTATAATACTTTTGTTTTTACAGTTTACAGAAACATATTGATTTTTTTCCCAATGAAAAATAATTTGTGCGACATCATTGCGGCTTCCTACAGCCATGAACTCGACTTCTTGCAGGCCCTTGGTGACCCAGGGTTCTTTTGGTAGAACTGGAAGAGTGGTCACCTCTCTGCCCCTGCCTCCGACCATTAATACAAACTCACAGTAGGGGGAATGCGAAGGGCTCCAGGACTAGAGAAAGGGCAGATTTAGCCTTCCAGCTCCGCACAGCAAAATAACTGCCTAAGGGGGCTTTTCCATCGGTTTTGTGAGCCTGTTTCTGCTTTTGACAGTTGGCAGACAAAACCAGACCCCCTCAGGTGATCTGGGCTACTTGTCTGGACAAAGCAGGCAGTCACTGAATTTCTTCATTATGGCCCCAGCCTTATTTTTGAGCAGTGAGTGTGATCCTTGCCCCTCCACGTCCAGTTGCAGGACTGTATGGCTAAGGGTCGTAGTGTCAGGTGACCATGCCAATTTAACATACAGGGAAAGTACAGAACACCTGCAGCTGTCCACCCGAAGCTGTTTGACTCTCTCAGGCTCCCGTCCACCCGCCCCTCCACCCGCGCTCCCATTGGTCGCAGCACCAGTCAGTCTGAGCAAAGGGGGGAGGGTGAGTGGGCGGGGCCTCATGGCGTCAGAGCAAAGATGGCGGCCTCAGCGGCGCTGTTCTCGCGCTTGCGGAACGGGCTTCGGTTCGGCGCGCGGGGGCTGTGCACAAGGCTGGCGACACCGCCCTCCCGGACCACAGAACAGGTGAGCCGAGCGGGATTGGCGTCCCGGGAATAGCGGCTTCTGGAAATTTTGGGCGTATACTCCACCTGGCTGTTCTGGGATGCCACACCTCAGGGTGCTGAATGGAACGCCGCCCGCGCTTTGGGGCGCTCCCCTGGCTCCTGGAGGGAACAACTCTTGCTCTTCACCCGGAATGCCAACGGCTCAAATACAGTCTCTTGACTCCTGCCTCCCTCCACGTGGGCGCTGGGTGAGGTCACTTGTTTCCCCTTGTCAGTGGCCAAGTGATTCTAGGAGAGGGGCGCGAGACCCCAGCGTCCCAGTTTGGCCTTGAGATAATTTCTCCGCGTGGCTGGTGGTGGTGAGGTAGACATCCGGCCTTACGTTTGACCTTCCTCCATGTTGACAGACCCAGCCATTCTGACCTCCAAGGCCATCCCTTCCGTGCCCTGTTTCCTCAGGCCCCAGACTAGAGACTGCACCTCCCCGCCGCTACGCCCTTCCCTTCCCCTCCCTACGGGGCGCCCTTGAACGCCAAGCACCCGAGTATTAGCTCCATGAGTTCTGTCCCGTGTACTCTCTGTCCGCCTGCTACCTGCATCCCAATTTTAGGGCTCTTATTTTCCACGGCCTGCTTTTCTGGGCTCCATACCCACCAGTTCTTTTGCCTCTAGGACTCTGAGCAACCTGACCTCTTACTTAATAAACCCTTGGGATTATCTCCTCAGGCAGTGTAGTTTTGACATTCTGAAGAGACCAACGTCTCAACTGCCCCTTTATGGGATGCAACGCCTTTTTGAGTGTTTGGGTGGTGACTTCCTGACTTTTTTTTTTTTCTTCAAGACAGGGTCTAACTAACTGGCTATTTAGTTCACGGTGGTGTTGAATTCACTGTGTGGCGCAGTCTGACTCTGAGCTCTGGAGAATCCTCCTGCCTCAGCCTCCAGGGTACTGGGAACTTCCTAGCTCTTGCTCTTGATTCTACTTGGACCAGAGTATAGGCCAGAGTATTGTGACCTTTTCTCTCTTCTCTTTTGGCTGATCTCTCCTCTCTGCACCACAGGCTACAGAGATCGGGAGCCATGGGGGTGCTAAAGCCCAGGGGTCACAGCAGCAGTCAAGCTCTGAAGGCCCCAGCTATGCTAAAAAAGTTGCACTCTGGCTTGCGGGTTTGCTGGGAGCCGGCGGAACTGTGAGCATCATCTATATTTTTGGTAAGGGTTGTAACCTCTGTCCCTCAGTTTTGTCTTGGCCTCCTGAATTCCACTGTGGAAACTTCTCTTCTTTGTGCCTTCTACAGTAGGTGGAATTTGGGCATCTACCTTGTAAACTACAGAAATCTCCTTTTCTGTTCTACCCTTCTGCTTAAGGTTCTACTCACTTTAGTTGGTTCATATGTTATGCTATAGGGAACCATTTGGTAGAGGTAGGGGAGGATAGACCTGGACCCTTAGCAGCCAGAATTTCAACCTTTCCCTTTGTCTGAGACCAGGCCTCAACTCTTTCTTTCAAAAACTCAGAAATCCTGGCTCCACCCCTCCCCCAAATCCAGGAGGTCTTTACCCTAGCCCACTTCCCTCAGATCAGGAGTCCAAATCTTGTGATCCTTTGCCCTGAAGACTCAGGAGCCTAGGCCCAAATTTCACCCATTCATTCTCGTCTCCATTGCAGGAAACAACCCTGTGGATGAAACTGGTGCCAAGGTAAGGCCTTGCCAGGAGCCCATCCTGAGGGTGTGGGGGTGGGCTCCCTTCAGGCTGCGAGGCTCATTTCTGGTCTGGGTTGAGCCTCTGCCTCCCATGCACCTCTGCCTTCTCTCAGTGGCTTGGAGTTCCCTTTGTGGGTTCTTTTTCTGGGTGCTGTCAACTCCTGCTCCTCTTATATCAAACCTTCCATTTTTCTCTCAACCTCTTAGATTCCTGATGAGTTCGACAATGGTGAGTAAATACCACAGATTCTGCGGTCCTCTGTCCCTCCTGACTGCCACTTGTGGGGCTGTTGTCCTCCCTGTCAGATCCCCTTCTTTCTGTGGTGATGTGGGGAGCCAGCAGCTGGATAGCAGGGGGAGGGGCAGTAAAAGCCTCAGCCCCCTTCCTTGGCCCCTCAGCCCAGGAGCAGATGGTCTGGGACAGATGGGGGAGGGGAACCTGTGTGGGACGGCCTGGGGAGACAGGGCAGCCTGTCCCCAGACACAGGACTTCCTGTGCCTTAGATCTGAGCATCTGCATCCCCTTACCCCCTCCTCTTTATGACAGCCTGCCTTTTTTTTTTTTTTAACTCTTAAGCCTCCATACCATCCACCATCAGACTGCTCATTTCCAAAACAATGCCT